AAAGGCAAGAAATTCTTCAAGTCCCATAAAGGGCTTGAATCGTGTCAACTGATAAAAGTAAAACAGATAGTTTATAACTGTTGCCTTATGAAAAGATTTTTTTGCGGGAAATTCACCTCTGTCTACGAGGGGATGTACTGTAAATGAACGTATTTTTTGCCTTTCTGTCAACTTTTCCTCTAGTATTTGGTATAAAACTGACCGGAACCATAATTATTGCCCTAAGTAAGTTTTTAGTGTCCGCTTATGCAACTTCCACACAATTATTGTTATATCTATTCAGCAATGACATAAGGTTTGCAAACAAAAAACAAGTTGCTATTTTAAAATTTCGCCTTCTTGGCGTTATATTTCGAAAGGTTTTTATGGGACATCAAACATTTATCTGCAAGAGACATGTGTGCATTTCCGTCCTAGGTTCCATGGACTATGTTTGTTTGTTCGGTAACTATGACTTCAGCTGAGCATTATTGCAGAAACCATCTACAATGCAGGTAGTTTGGCGCCGAATTGCAGACAACATGGGGTTAAGGTTAAAGCTAGGATTACGATTGGGCGTCGAGGCACTTCAGTTTTAGAGTTAAGAGTATGGTAAGGCCTAATATTTGGGCTAGGTTTTAGGTTGACAGGGTTGGGTTTAGGATACGGAAATAGTTGAGATTTATGCACCGGGCTAGTCTTATTACCGGGGCTGGACATCCCTACTTCCGTGTGCAGTTTAGGGAGCCAAAACATCATTTGTTCGTCGCACTAACGCTTATTACTTAATTAGCGCGAATTAGATAAGTAAATGTAGTTACTTAATTTTTCTCCTTTAATGGGTCGCGTAGACAGACCAGGGAATGGCAGACGTTATTCGGGTTGTGGTCCCATAAAAATGCTGAGCATAGGGAAAGGGCGTTGGTGGCAAGCTTAGGTGAAGGTTGAGGCAACAGTTACCCATGGTCGTTATGGCAGTTCCACTCCCTGGGGTCTAAGTCGGGTTTGGCCACTCCGGTTGCTTCTCCCCGATCCCGCCTGCAGTCTTCTTGCTTCTATGTTGCCACTGGTTAACCGCGGGTAGGATAAGGGAGAGTGCGATATATATAACGCACCCCTACCATGATTTAAATCTAATCCACCTCTGCACCAGTATGTTATGGAGCACATTGTG